GGTAACAAAGATCGATAGTGCAATGTAGATCACAATGTCAAGTATACAATCAACACCACAAACAGGAGTACTGCTAACAATCCTCAAAAAAGGTATGTACAAAAATTCACAGGAAAGGTATGTACAGAAACCCTTAGGGCAAATAGAACCATACATAAAACTCACTGGATTTCAGTGGCAGGAATCAACCTAGGGGAAAAGATATGGCAACAGCACGAACTATCCATACTTGCATCAGGTGGGCCACATATGAGTACGTGTATAGAGGCCATTAAGTGAAAATCCTCGAAAATACTTCATTACAGGAGAGACCGACAGTTTTTGAGCGGAGCATATAAAACCTAGCGACCGGCTTTCGACTAGAATTATAAGTAAAAAAGGAATCCATAAGTTAACTTGACATATTCTTCGCTAAATAATCTGAGTTATTGAGTTGAAAATGATATCGCCGAATTTAGTAGAAAACATTGCTTGAAAATGCCAGAATGCAAAATACACAAAAACTTCATGGGACATTTGAACCGAAAGTCTGTGTCTGAGCATTTTTCATAGTAACGGCTTTCGTCCTAGTCCATGCATTCAAAGACATTATAGTATGAAGAAGACCAGACTTCACATCTCTGAAATAGTAATTTGGATTTTGAGCATTAACGCAACCTTAGCAATTCAAGGCGTATATGAGTCCGCAGCTGCTTCCGCCAGCACGCAGTATAGCACACATTTTATGTTTTACCAACTGCTACGCGCCAATCGAACAAGTTTGTTGAATCTCCCAGAAGAAATGCCCTTTAAGCGATCGAGAATAAATTTTCTCAGAGAAAGATCGTGATTACTTGCCATGAATTGATCTACGGAAGACGGGCAGAGGACAAAAAGGATGCCTGAACGAACCCTGTGATAATCTGATTGTGAGTGATACAGGGCTTGATCACGGCGTAGATCTCATCGCACAATTCCGGCCACTTCATCCACAGTGAGCGCTGCGCTGATTCACACAGCAAACACACGGAGTGAGCGCACCTGTTGTACATCAAAAGGTAAGCTCAGAATCAATCCAAAATAGTTTTTTTTTTCTGGAACAGTGGTCAATGCAAGGAATGCTTAAGAACTAACCTGTTTACAATTTCAGGATCTTCCCTTTCTGGCTCGTTAGATGAAGAAACCGTCTCATCAATATTGTCCGTTGACTTGTTAGCAGCTTTTATAACAGCCTAAAATACATCAGGTGAGCAACAGTTCGTGCTTACTGCTTGCTAGGAGCAAACCCTATTTCAGTTTGTGAATTTTACTAAAAGTAGAACTTATTACCAAAATCCGTGCTTCATGATTGCCAGAAATTATGCATAGTTCCCTGGTAACTACGATAAATCCTTTCGTGAACAATGGCCGCCAACCCTTCAGAGCGTACCTACTAACAAGTCTGCCAAAATTCTCTAGTAGTGGACCACGGTACTTACCTAATGCAGGTGACCCCAACCCCATTCGAACCATACGGCGCCCATACTCTTCACCTAGGCTCGACCAACAGAAGTGTATGTAATTTAGGAAAATCCTTCATGTTTGGAGATTTGAGCCACATCCGGGTGCGGTTTACAGAATAAAAAGCTAGTGCGCATTTTGAAGCGGCAAAGATTGGCCTGCGACAGCTCCTGTCCACTCGTGTCAGCGTGTGAACCTGAGTTCCCATATACTAACAAGCTTCCTGCTGTCGAATGCGGAATAAAGTTCATTTTCTCTCCAAGAACTAAACCCCACGACGGATATGAAGCGCGCCACTAATTCAGAATGCACCTCGCGATATTTTCTGAATCGAGGCCAGCGCAACCAAGCTGGGTAAATACAACACCACACAGACACGCGATGCAATTCGTAGCTCACCTCATTGTCTTCCTCTAGAACTAATATCCACCCTTTTACAACGGAAACTGATGTGTATAATATGGGATTAATTGTATCTATAGCCTGAAAATGCCAATAACGAATGCGGGGGTTAGATACAGCTGTTGAAGGGTTAATGCTGAAACAAAAAAAAACGAAAGTGCAGCGAGTTTGTACCTTTGACATATGGCGAGGCCAGTTGGCACAGAGGATTGCTCCCAAAAAGGCAGGAATATTGCCAATGCCACTGGGTCCATCCATAACGAAAGCCGTGCACAATGTCATAAGCTCGGAGCACATGACCTCACAAAATACGTCGTACTCTGAAACTTATCGGTCAGTTCGCAAACGAAGGTGAAAAAGGACCTCCGTCGGGGAAAATGAATGATAGTCCTAATCTCTTTGCCCGCGTTACATGATATTTGAACCAATCCCCTTCCTTGTTAAGGTCAAATCATACTTCGCAACCGTCTTGCAGTTTGAATATAGGAGATACGTGTCGATCGTGCGATCGCATGTATTTGCGATCGACAAGTAACTTTTCCATTCTCGAACTGCAAGACAAAGTCCGCCACCAAACGCGTAGGAAATGCGACGCGGTGCTGGCCATGTGTCATCCTTCTTGGCTCTCAGTCAGGCCAATGTCAGAGTTCGCGATCAGTCGCGCGATTACCACAAAAACCACAATACTGCGAGGTGTTCTCCAATCCTGCCGCACTTCTGCTTGATGGTGATGGTTGAATGACGACTGTTCATGATTCTACTTGTTTCATATTCAGTGTTTCAAATGTTCAAATGGGGCACTCGCAAATCTTGCGACTTGCACGAATCGCACAACGGATCGCGGACTCCGAAGCCTCCTATGCCGTCAAACGGAATGGATTACATCCCAACAGTTACACTTAAAAGCATATTCCAGGATCAAATTGGTGTGATTTCTGCACGCAAACATATATGGATGTATTGGTGCGAAATGGAACGGCAGTAAAGAAAAAAGGAAAAGAATCTGTCAAAGACGCTTAGGTTAAGGGCTTACTCACCTAAGCAATAGACGGCAAAAGTTGTGGGGTAGGAGGAACAAAGTTTTTCACACACCTCAAAACTCCTTTCCTTCTCTTCACTTAGACGAATTCCCCCTGACTTGCCCTAAGTGTTCCAAACCAACATAACCCTTCAGATGAGCAGCACCTCAAATTCCAAGGCGATGTCACTTTGCGGGTCCGATTCGTTGGTGCAACGCTTGTATCCAGCGATTCGCTGGATTCGCAATGTCTTCGGCCTAAGATGGATGAACCACTACCAACACTTGATAGCTGACATCGGTACACGGATAACGTAGCACGCTGTGAAAGCAATGGCATGTGGCAAGATCCAATATCCTCCATGAATTGACGCTAAGCAGCAAGCGGGCACGAAAACTCGGAAGCTCGCCTCGCGTCTCTACTTTCGTCGGGCGACTGGACTCTTGCGACACTAATAGAATAGTGTTGTGTCAGACTCCGCGTTCGCTATCGCGATTCTGCAGTCGCGTCAGCAAAAGCGAAATTTAGCAATCACCGAAAGAGAGTCATG